GTCATTAGTACAGAGTTTGTGGCTTCGTCAGGGTGAGGTCAGTAGTTGAGAATGTGTAATTTTATCGTAGTGAGGTCATTAGTACAGAGTTTGTGGCTTCGTCAGGGTAAGGTCAGTAGTTGAGAATGTGTAATTTTATCGTGGTGAGGTCATTAGTACAGAGTTTGTGGCTTCGTCAGGGTGAGGTCAGTAGTTGAGAATGTGTAATTTTATCGTGGTGAGGTCATTAGTACAGAGTTTGTGGCTTCGTCAGGGTGAGGTCAGTAGTTGAGAATGTGTAATTTTATCGTGGTGAGGTCATTAGTACAGAGTTTGTGGTTTCGTCAGGGTGCTAATGACCTCACTACGATAAAATTACACATTCTCAACTACTGACCTTACAGAGTTTGTGGCTTCGTCAGGGTGAGGTCAGTAGTTGAGAATGTGTAATTTTATCGTGGTGAGGTCATTAGTACAGAGTTTGTGGCTTCGTCAGGGTGAGGTCAGTAAAATCTATCTAACAGAATGTGACTTACACCACATTTATCCACATCTGGGAAACAGTTACCTTAAACTCCTTATTTCAAAGTTTTATATCTTCGTAAAATGCAGACATGACGAAGGGGGAGATATCAACTTCGAGTTAACTTGGGTGGGTTCGGGTATTACAACAAAACACACGATCCTCTGTGTATTCTAAAATGAATTACGCATTTGAATCTATTTCCATTATATATGTAAATAACGTGTTTTTCTGAGTTCGTACACCGTTTAAAGATGGAAAGCCACGTGTTAAAGAGTAGTTTGTTATACCTGAGTTTACACAAGAACACAAATATATTGACTGCCTTTTAAACGAAAAAAACGGTGCTAGATAACAAAGAGTCTATGGGCAATCTCTATGTGACAATAACATCTGACAAATAGTAGAAAAAACTATTCTTTTTGCAAATCAACGTTTTCCGAAAACAATTTGACAACAGCAAACCTTCAGAAAATGAAAGGCTGCTGGGTGTCGGGATAAATATTACAATACCGGCTAGATCATTACAACCCGTCGAAACGACACATTCTGGACATCATTACTTTAGTTAACTCTGGTAAGGATCTGGTATTTTATTAGATTTATCATTATTTTAGTTAACTCTGGTAAGGATCTGGTATTTTATTAGATAGATTTATCATTATTTTAGTTAACTCTGGTAAGGATCTGGTATTTTGTTAGATAGATTTATCATTATTTTAGTTAACTCTGGTAAGGATCTGGTATTTTATTAGATAGATTTATCATTATTTTAGTTAACTCTGGTAAGGATCTGGTATTTTGTTAGATAGATTTATCAGTATTTTAGTTAACTCTGGTAAGGATCTGGTATTTTATTAGATAGATTTATCATTATT